GATGGAGTCCTGCTCTGTCACCAGGCTGGAGTGCAGTGGTATGATCTCAGCTCACTGGAAAACTGCTTCCTGGGTTCAAGTGATTCTCCTGCCTCAGCCTCCCAAGTAGCTGGGACTACAGGCATGTGCCACCACGCCTCGCTAATTTTTCTATTTTTAGTAGAGACAGGGTTTCACCATGTTGGCCAGGCTGGTCTCGAACTTTGAGCTCATCATCGGCCTCCCAAAGTGCTAGGATTACAGGCGTGAGCCACTGTGCTCGGCCGATGACACAGTATCTTAAAGTTCATTCATTCATTCAAGAAGATATTCACTGAGTACTCACTAAGTCATAGTACAATGCTGAATGGTAGAGCAGTGAACACAGTGGAATAGAATTGTCATTCCCATGGAACTTAAGTGAGGGAGACAGAAAATATATTAGATATATAATATAATATATAATGTAATATAATATATAAGAGAGTTTAGGATGAAAATAAGCAGTACATGGCTGGGTGTGGTGGCTCACGCCTGTAATCCAAGCACTTTGGAGGCCAAGGTGGGCGGATCACCTGAGGTAGGGAGTTCAAGACTAGACTGACCAACATGGTGAAACCCCGTCTTTAAAAAAAAAAAAGAAAGAAAATAAGCAGTACAGAGATATAAGACATAATTGGGTAGAGAGTTGTTAGGGTCGTTGGTAAAGGCGACCTAGGAAGCCCTCACTGAGAAGATAAGTCTTAAGACTTATGAACATGAAGGAATGAGTTTGAGGATATTTGAAGAAAGAGAGTCACACACAGTTGAAAGAGCAAGATCAAAGGTCTTGAGGTGGGGCAAGGCTGGTATGTTAAGAAAGTGAAAACCAGATAGCAAGGAGACTAGTGTGGTGGAAAAGGAAAAGCTAGAGGAGAATTAGAAGATGAAGTCCCAATGAGGTTAGGTCCTTCAGGACTTTGGCTCTGAACCTGAGAGCCATGGGGAACTGTGGAGCATTTGGAGCAGAGAGTGTCTTGATATTACTTTTAGCAGAAATGCTTTGGTTGCTAGTGTTGGTGTTGATTAGATAGAAAGTGAATCAGGAGGACCAGCTAGGAGACTACCGCAACAATGTAGGCAAGACATAATGGTGGCATTTGGACTGGCGTAGCAGTGACATCCGTGAGAAACAGTTGAATTCTGGGTATAGTTTGAAGCTAGAGCTGATAGGATTTGCTAGTGAATCAGAAGTGGGTTGTAAAAGAAAAAAGTGGTGTCAAGGATAACTACAAGACTTTCAGCCTGAGCCACCATATGCTGAGCTGAGAAGGGTGGGGATAGGGAGTGAGGAGCAGGTTGGTGGAGGTTATAAAGAGTTCAGCTTTGGATCTATCAGCTTCAAGCTGCCCATGACCCCATGATTGGAGGTCTGGGTTGGACATAAATGTGAGAATTATCTGCATAGAGATGGGATTTAAATAGAGGAGTTTGAGGGTTATCACCAAAAGGGAGAGAGCTATGTAAAAGAAGAGAATATAGTCGTGAGGGTTCCTGGGTGGTTGACCTACACAGAATTGGGCAGACTGCTTCCTCTCCTCCTATATATCCACTTGGACTAAAGCTCCTTGGAATCACATTAGTCTTCTGGGCAGCTCCACATACTGTGGACTTGTATTGAGCTTTCTGCTTCTGACTTTCCCAGCCTATCCTCTGAGTCTTTCTCCTATAAGCTACTCCTAATGTGCATCCTCCTCCATCCCACCACCTCTGGGTTGCATCCACTGTGCAGAGGCTGGTGGACCCCCATGAAAATTTACTTTGGAAGTCAAGACTGATAATGCTAAACTCTAACACCAAAGGTATAAAAAGATTTATTACTTACAAAATAGAAGTCTCAGAGATCAAGATGGGCTTCTCAAAGAAAGGATACTCGCTCCATATTTACATCACGAAAGGAGGCTGAAGCTGGGTCAAGGTACCCATGCGTGGAGAAGGACTTGCATGGTTTGTATCTCCTGCAGGAGCCAAAGAAGGAAACACCCAGCCTATTTTAAAAGCTTTCTCTGAGATGGGGCAAAAGGGAAAGAATGAGGGGCGAGGGTTAAAATATGGCAGTAGTCAACTATCAAAAGATAATATTAGATACATTACTATATCCTGATTTTGTGTAATTAATATTATGGACTTGAGTTCAGGGATCATCCATTTATCCTTATTCAACTCATTCTTGTTAAATGTAGCCCATTAACCCAAGCTACTAAAAACTCCTTGGATCTGATTCTGTGAAAGAGTATATTTGCAATACTACCAAGCCATTCATCAGTGGAAAATGTAAGATGATAGCCTCAATATTATTAATAATTGATTTAAAAATGCTGAATATTACAAAGCTAAGAAGAAAGCACTGTGGCACCCCACTCAACTCTTTCTTCCAGGTAGGCATAATCTGTTAGCCACCCTTCGAATGTAGCCAATCACTAATTTGCTACATTAAACTGGCATCCAAACCTTATTATTCCGAATTGTCTCAAAGAAGATCATTGTATTAGTCTGTTCATGTGTTTCTATAAAGAAATACTTGGGGTCGGGTAACTTATGAAGAAAAGCATTCTAATTGGCCCATGATTCTGCAAACTGTATGGGAAGAATGGTGCCAGTAATGCTTCTGGCTTTGGAGAAAGAGAAGCACTGGGGAGACTTGCTCTTATTCATGGTGGAAGGTGACAGGAAGCCAATATCTCACATGGCAAGAGCAGGAGCAAGGGGGAGGGAGGTGTCACACATTTTTAAACAACCAGTTCTCACATGAACTCACTCATCACCAAAGGGATAGTGCTGAGCCATTCATGAGGGGTCCACCCACATGATGCGAACACCTCTCACTAGGCCCCGCCTCCAACACTGGGAATTACAGTTTAACATGAGGTTTTTAGGGGACAAATACCCAAACTATATCAGTCATAAACAACAATGTGAACTCTCTTGCATAAACCCAGATGATTTACAAAATTAATAATAGTATCAAAGGAAGAAATGTGGTTATATTTGCTTTGTGAATAGCTACTGAGAATGCTGTTGGGAATCCATCATAACTATACCTCCCTGAAGCTTTATGAATTTAGTTTCATCTGGTTCTGGTCTCCTAATACTGCTCTTAGTACCCAGAGATCTCAATGACAAAGTATTTTATACTGTGTTTATAATTCATTATTATAAGGAGATATGAGTTCATTTAGAACATGTAGGTACTGACCAATAGTCTTTACCCTCATTGGGGTTCAATTCCTTACTAATGATGTTCAGCTGGAGTTTTGGAGGTTGAACACCATAATTTTTATATCATCATTATATCATTAGTTCAAAGTCACAGGCCTTCTTTTGCTCTGTAAGTTTCTTTGGTATTTTTAATCCTTCCTCCTCCTAATCTCATCTCATCTGGGACTCTAGTGACTGATGTGAATCTAACTGGCTCTAGCACTTTCATACTCAGTGTCCATTTCATCCTTCACTCATTTGATACCTTCTATTTGCCATGTTCCTAGTGCTGTATTACCAAGATGATGAATACAAAATACATGAATACTTTTCAATTGTATTTTTCTTGAAGAACATCTGAAGCTACATTTTTTAGTGTTCTTTCCCCTTTCCTCCTCATTTTATAATTTAGCAATTGCACTCAAAATTGTATTTTTGAGAACATCATAACACTTTTGAGTCATAATCTCCTTAGGAGTCTCATGCCATGAATAATGCATATCTTTTCTCTAAACATTTTGCAGAAATTAGTCTACAGTGTACAAATCGTGATGTCCAGTTTTCTTTTCCTTGGAAAAAAACAAAATTCAAGATAGCCCGGTCACTTTCTTTTAGACTTCACATTACTGCCACTTCGTCAATAAGTTCCCCTTGTTGTCAGAGCTAGGTCCAAAGTGGTTGTTTCCTCTGGCTGTTTCCTAGCCTTTTGAGAGATTTAGTTGTCATTAACGATATTCAAGAACCTTTGACATAGTTGGCTTTTCACTAAAAAAAATATTTGGCCTATTCATAGCTGGTTGAAGTCTTGGTTCACTGCTGATAAGAACAGAAACCTTGCCTGTCTTGTTCACCACTAATTCCTGCATCATGATAGGGCCGTATGGCCACTAATATTATAACTTAGTGTTTTCTGCCTTTGGGAAATGGAGATGTCTATGCAGCATGAATCTTTTCAACCTTTAACACTAATCTGCTTCTCCTCTTAAAAATCTTTTTTTTTAAATAAGACAAATTCTTCCCTTACCATGTTCTAATGTAGAGGGCAATCACATTACATTTCAGATATTCATTGTTTCATATTTTTATTCATTTAACAAATATTTATTGAGTGTCTATGTAAGAATAACAATAACATTAAAAGCTATCGTGATTGAACATTAACTATGTGTTGGGCACTTCCTAAGGCAATTTATATGAAGTAACTAATTTGACCTTTACAATCCAACTGAGATGCAGAGATGTTGAGAGAATTTTCCAAGGTTAACATTTTAAGGGGAGGAATATGGCAGCATTCTGGGCACTGGTGATTGAGCAATAGATAACATGGGCAGGATTCCTTTTCTTAGAGAGTTTACATTTCAGCGGGGAAAGTAAATGGTAAATAAATTTTAAAAGGTACTTTGACAGAATATGTGCTGTGAAAAGAAAACCATGAGGATTTTCTAGAGGGAAACTGGAGAAGAAAATACCTTTTATCCGATAGCCAGGGAAGGGCTCTCTGGGGAGGTAACAGTTTAACTGTGCTTCCTCCAGGATGTTTTCAGTAGTGTGTAACAGAAAACTGAACACATGATAGTTTAAATAATAGGAGAATTTGTTATCTTACATAGAAAATGCCTTAAGCCAGGCATGGTAGTACATGCCTGTAGTTCCATCTACTCTAGAGGCTGAGGTGGGAGGATGGTTTGAGCCTAGGAGTTTGAGGCCAGTCTGGGCAACAAAGAAATACTCCATTTCTTTTTTTTTTTAAAAAAAGATGTCTTAAGATAGAAGGACTCTGGGATCTGGGAATAGTTCAGAGGGTAAGGATGTAAGGAAATACTTCTTCTTCCATGCCTGTCTCTGCATGGGGACTGGCTACCACCTTGCTTGCAAGATGGAATGACACTTCTAGCCATTCTGTCCTCATCTACCTCAGGCAAAGTTCATAGGTAAAAAGAAAGATTTTTTTTTTTTTCACAGATCTCTTTTTTTTTTTTTTTTTTTTACTTTTCTCCTTTTTTTTTTTTTTTTTTTTTTTTTTTCCTTTTTTCTCTATGGTTTAAAACAACTGTTTGGTAACATTATAATATCAGCTTCTTTAACAGCAAGGAAATTGTATTAGTCTGTTTTCATGCTGCTGATAAAAACATACCTGAGGCTGGGTAATGTATAAAGAAAAAGAGGTTTCATGGACTCACAGCTCCACGTGGCTGGGGAAGCCTCACAATCATGGAGGAAGGTGAAAGGCATGGCTTACATGGCAGCAGGCAGAGAATAAGAGTCAAGCAAAAGGGGTTTCCCCTTAAAAAACAATCAGATATCACGAGACTCATTCACTACCACAAGAACAGTATGGGGGAAACCAGCTCCATGATTCAATTATTTCCCACAGGGTCCCTCCCACAACATGTGGGAATTATGGGAGCTACAATTCAAGGTGAGATTTGGGTGGGGACACAGAAAATCATATCAGAAATCTTTGTTCCCAGCAGACTTCATATTATGCCATATTGGCCAAAATTGTGTCACTTGTATGAGGAATGACATTTCCATGTCTGGTGCAGAGTCTAGCTTTTAGTTAGACTGATTGAGTCAGTCACTGGAGCTTGGGTTTTTATCACTTTTCCTAAGTCCAAGAACAAACAGAAGAGTAAACACTTAAAAAATTAGGCACAAAAAAGGGGATAGATTGGGATAGGCAATTGCTAGTCCCTGTAATAAGCCTCATCCTGAGAAATGGGAAGATGTCGACCATATGAGGATCTGGGGGAAGAATTTTCAGAGAAGTAAACAGGTACAACTCCTTGAGTGTAGGAACTAGTTTGTCACGTGCTCACCTGGGATCACAGGAAGTAGGGAAACAGGAAGAGATGAGAAGTGAAATGGTGCAGTGTTTGAATGTGGGCTCAGGAGCTGTAGTTTCTGGGTTCAAATAACAGACCTGTGTTTATTGTTTGCCATTTCACAAATTAAGTTAGCTGTGTCTCAGTTTCCTAATTGTTAAAACACATATAAATAATAATATAAACTCATGAAATTGTTAAAAGATAAAAAAGACAAAGAAAATAAACAATTAGAACAGGTTGTGGAATATTGTAGGTATGGGGTGATGAATGCAGCAAACCACCACCATGGCATGTGTATACCTATGGAACAAACCTGTATGATCTGCACACGTACCCCAGAACTTAAAGTATAATAAATACATTTTAAAAAAGAGTATTGTAGGTGCTCAGTATTCTTGAGTCAGCTATCATTGTTGAATCACTGGTTCGGAGTTCAGATCACATAGAATCTTGGATCACCTAGAACAAGCGTGTCAGTTTTATTTAAATTAAACCGTAAAGCCATTGAAGTGTTTTATGCAGGCAGTGATCTAAAATGATTTAGATTTTCACAGATTAGTTTTTTTTTTTTTTCCTGCTATGTATACAGTACAGGGAAGGGGGGGAAGAGTGAATGCAGGATAGTTAGTAGGATTTTACAGTAAAGCAGGTCAGGTGGGTTTGACTAGGGTGAAACCACTGGAGAGGAAGTTAGAGCCAACAGACTTTAACAGCTTACACTTCAGCTCGTGGTTTAGGGAAATAAGGACTTCTGAATGTCTGACATGTAAAATTGAAAAAATTGTGATGCCTTTTACAGAGATGGGGAAGGATCCCATAGGATTCATAAAACTGCCAAAGGGGTCTATGGAACAAAAATGTTAAGAACCCTGTTTTAAAATCCTTTGTCCATGAATCCCCTCTTCCATGTTTCTTTCGAGATTTTCTTTTATCTTTCCTGTCTTCTTGGTAACTCACTTTCTCCCAATCTACACACTTGATCTGATGATCCATAAAGCAATTTGTGAAGATGATTTAGGTCAAGCTGGTTTATCATACAGCAGAAGTGAGAACACAATGAATTTAGCACTAGATTGTTGAATATGTCCCAGAGCTTTCAAAGCCCAGCTGTTCAAGTTCAGTAAATGACTCTCATAAAAACTGATTGGTAGTTATGTTCATTTTTATTTCTCCTACCCTTTCCTTCCAGCTGCTAAAGCCTAATTTTTACTGTAGGTCAAAATAATTTTAATTTCTTTCATTCTCAAAGTCAAGTTAAAAGGAGACAAAAGCCATCTCAGTTTAGCCTGATCGCATTCCACTGACCTAGTCCAGATGGCCTTCAGTGATGGGTGGATACAGGCCCCTCTCCTACCTGTCCCTCAAAGTGTCCTGTGAGGATACAATCTAAGTAGATATCCATCATCTTTGCATACCACATGGACTTTTTTGCACATGTTTTACTGAACATCAACATTTAAAAAGGCAGTTCATAAAGTTCTTGCAAATAGCTCAAACCATATTGCATTTTAGTGGTGACAACAAAAACAAAACCTTATAAATTATACTTCTTTTTTTTGGCAAGGTCCACTGTCATGTGTGTGTGGCTCTGCAAGTACTATAAGTCACAGGACAAGTTTTGCTATACCTAAAGATGATATCATTGACATGCCACTAGTATTGGGGCACTTAAATTATCTTTCTGGTAGTGATGATGAAGTGAGGCTTTTAAAATATTTCTTTCCACTTTTCTTCTTGTGATAAAAATCACTATATCACTCAGGACACTTTTTGTTGCAAATTATAGAAACCCAACTTGAGCTAGTTTTGGCAGAAAATCTAGGCATAAAGATCAAAGGAAGAGTAAAAGACATTTTTACAAGGCAAGGAACAGAGCAGTTTCGGGAGTCTCGGGAACAGGCACTGATGTTTGAATACTGCCTAGGTTCCTTTGCTTTCCATTCTCCATCTCTCATCTTTTTTTTTTTCTCTCTCTCTCAGCAGAACACCTTCTTCCACTGACAGCTTTGAGGCTGTATCTTTCCAGTGTTAGAATCAGAAACGAAAGGAGTCTATGTCTCAACTCCAAATAGAAAAATCCTAAAAAAGAACACTGATTGGTGATGTTAGGACAGAGGCCCAACAGCCACCAAATCATTGCAACAGGAAAACAAAGGTTACATCGTAAGTGAGCAGCCCTCAGATCATGACTAGATAGGTCAAGGGGTAGTTCCCTAAGAGAGTGGGGGACGCTGTTCTCAGAAGAGAACCCTACTCAACAAAAACAAAACAATTTTTAAAACGGCAAGTGTTTACTAAAAGAACCCATTTGCGAGATGGCCTGAAAAAATTGGCGGTTAACTCAGCAACTAGGAAATAGATTTACTGATTCAGGAGTGGCACATACCTCTCGTTAGTTTTCAGCCTCAGGCCCTTAAACTATTGGATGATTTTCTCAATAGACTTAGATATCTAATTCAAGATCAGTACTTTTCCAGCAATCAAATCTTATTGAATTGTTTTGCTTTCTTTATATCTCTGTTTTAATTTAAAGAAGTTTTCTTTTTTTGTTGCCTATTATGTGGTCCAGGGAATTTCTTTTTTAAGAAGCCATCTAGTATATAATGAACCTGAACTGCTTTGGAGGTTAATCAGTATTTGCTTTATATACCAATGACTAGTTTATAGATAAGCAGAATTATTTGGGCCAGATAGTAACACATATCTGGAAGGAATTTTATTGATAGCTGGCATAATCCCTACATTTGACCAACCAAGTCAGATCCAGAGAAGGTAAATGAGTTGCCCAAGGTCACACCTGTCGTTATGAAAAAAGCCAGCACTGACACCCCAAGATGGCCTGACTTCTCTAGTTTTCTTTATCTTTTTTATCACATCAGGCTTAGTGAACAAAAGTGAATATAAATTCAACAGGAATGCATGTGAATATAAGTTTGGGTCATCCCAGTTCACATTGACGAATACTTGCTGCCGTTACAACTTAGAATATCAAGGGCAAACGGGGGGTACCTTGCACCGAGAGCAGCTTTCCTCTCTCGTGTGCAGGACATTCAGTGTTGAGAATATTGTGGGCAGCGTAAAAGAATCACAGAGGAGATAGATTCCGTCTCTCTTCTTTCGACCCATGTCCAGTCAGGTTCTACTCACCATGTGTCCCTCCAAGCAGCCTCTCCTTTGCTGTGCCACTGATGCGACAGCTCCTTATTTTCCCTGCTTCCCAAACAGCATCCTTCCAACCCATCATCACCATAGTGATCTGTCTAAAATGCAAATGGGATTGCATCAGGCTCAAGCTCAAAATAGTTCAATGCCTACCCCTTCCTTCAGCCAGACAGGATAAAATTCATTCTCTTTGTACCATCATTTCTCTCTGCCTCTATTCTCAATTCCTGCCAAACCTGGTCCCTGATTTGTTAATATTCTACACAGACCTAATAATTAGGACTCCTAGAAATTGGGGCCATGGAGCCTTACTCATCTTGACGTATCTGGTAATGCACAAGTGTTTATTGAACTGGATTTCTTTTGAACTAGTCTGAAAATCAAACAAAGCTGTTTACTGAATAAGTTAATGTTTTTCTGATAAAACCACAACTATAAGTAATTTCTTTTATATGTTACATCTTTGGTCTTCTGAAACTAGATTCATTACTATTATGGTACTATAAGCAACTGATGAAATAAATGGAATTTGAATTTTGCAGTCTGATTTGCAGCTTGAGGGAATATCATGGAATGCAATGCAAGGCAAAATCCTGACTAAATGTGGGCAAGGAATTTTTCTTTCTTATGTGGTTTTTGATACTCTGGGACTATTTAAGTTTTTTGCTCTTTTGAATCTTTTTTTTTATGTACTTCTGCTCTAATTTTATTTTTGAAAAAGAGTGAATGGAATTTTAAAAAGAGCAATTGCTACTAAGAGCAGAAGACTGTAAGTCCTGATATACACAGAAATCAAACCATGCTGGAAGAAAGATATAATTCTATGAGGGGTATCTGGATTGCAGTTCACTGATTCCAGTGTCTGTGGACCTCCCTGAAGGTGGGAAGACCTCCCCTGCTCAGCTGTCAATAAGAAAGGTAAAGCTGAGGATGTCCTTTCCATTGAAAGAGTGAAGATTATTTCTGAGATTGTTAGTGAATATGTTTATCAAGATATATGTGAAATAGGAGAAATACTTCACTACCCTCAGATCTCCTTTAAAATAGTGTCATTAAAGAAGCCTCTGAATGGTGTTATGTAGGGGCATTAAGGGACCTAGTAAAAGGTGGGCCTGATTAACTGGCACTAACTCAGTTAGAGGAAGGTTGAATTCAGAGAAGTTCAGCAGTAGTTGAAATCGTGGTGTCTTCAGAGGTAATATTTTTGGTATGATCAAAATATAGAGTGGGGATAAACTTAGAAAATAGGAGGAAAGTTTTGACTGTGAATATAGCTCAGTGTCAGCTTCAAAACATCAGGTATTAGCTTTCCCACAGCAAGACAGATTCTGGGTTCCGTCATTCTGATACTAACTGCACTGGTCTGTATTCTTTTTGGAACTGAGAGGGGCTGAGGGCTGTCAGGGTCCAGCATCAGTGACTCTGGAGTAGGTAGGAAGCAGAGACCATATGCTCATTTCCAATTCACTGGCCTTCTCTCTGTCCCCATTCCCTGGATCATGTTTGGTACACAGAGGCATGTTATAGAAATGTATTACATAAATCATAATTTACCCTTTTCATCAAATATGTAGTTCAAAAAACAGACGGAACTTGTTGTTTCAAAGAGATACTTTCTGAGACATTCTTAATTTTAAAGGTATCTGCGCTGCCTCACCGTTGGCTTGTGTGACCTTAATGTCTCCTGGTTATAAGCATCTATTTCCAAAATCAAGTTCTTTTCCTTTGTCTAGATGTCTTCTGTTCTGATGGCTCCCACACACATCAAGGCTGGTGGGGTCCAGTCAACAGCTCCATCCCTAAATGTGCCCCACAGACACATGCCATATTTCAACCAGTCTGGTGTAATTTTCGCTCAACTCTTCTCTTCTTGTCCCATTCCCGGCATACCTGGACCATGTTTCTACTGGGCTTCATTTTTCTTTCCAAGGATACAGACTTAAAAACCTTGGAATCTTTATTTTTATTATTATTATTTTTTAAACTCAGCAGAGGCATGCATTTCCCCACATCCAGTGAGTTCATATGACCAGCCCATCTTCCTTCAGACTTTTCTCCTGACTACTTCTTCCTTTTAACTCCTCTGCAATCACCCCACCCAAACCCTCTTTGCCTCATATGCAGATTATCACAGCCTCCCACAAGCTTCTCCTGTCTGCAGTTTTTGCCATCCACAAATCACCTGGCATTTTGGTGTAGACAAATTTTCCCTACAGAGATTTTCTCAAGTTACCAGCTTGCTGGCTTGTATGCAATTTTAAGTTGTGCCATTTTGCAAAATGCTTTGCAAAGGAGGGATCCATTGTTCCTGCAAATGTGTAAAGCTCTGTCCTTTTCTTATGTCTTGGTTTATGACGGAGCTCTTGCCTGGGAAGTCTTGCCTTTATTTTCTGCCACTTGTCAGGGCTTAGCGGTAACATCTCTTATCGCTTAGCAAACTATTTCTTTTTTGGGGTGTGAGGAGGTCTCACTACCATACCCAGGCTAGAGTGCAGAGGCTATTCACAGGCACCATCATTGTGCAATGCAGCTTTACACTCCTAGGCTTGAGACTCCTGAGTAGCTGGAACTACCGGCATACATCACCACCCCTGGTTTCCTTTAGTAAACTTTTGGTGTGACTCTTTCAGTCTTCACTGAGCTCATCCTTGGCTGATCTTCAGCTTTTAGAAGGTGTATTGTTTTATGCAGTTTCTTTTTATTTCATCTGTAATAATACATAACTATAGATGAAATATATATAGAAATATATTTATTATAAATTATAATGATAGATGAGCTATATAGAAACATTTCATCAATAATTGTATGGTTTCCTTTTATTTCATCTATAATAATATATAATAATGTCAGATATGTTATAAGTTCATTGATGTTAGATACCTGGCCTCAAATGTCACTGGTGGTCACTTTGGTACAAGTCTAAGTATGTACAATGTTCTGCGGGCTTAATAAATATACCCTCTGCTTAGAAATATGCTGTTGGAACAACTCAGTCTCTTGTTCCTAATTGGCAAACACCAGATATTTTAAATCTCAAAAAGATACTCAATGTTGTTTGCAGCTGTTTTGTGGTCCTTATGTTCTAGGATCTTTTGGGCAGGCTTCCCAAAGGATAATGGCTAAAGAAAGAAGGGGTTCCCTCTGTATTTTAATAATGTATGCTGCAAGCAGGCAGAGCTAATGTTAATTCCACAACGTGCTTTATAGAGAAAATGTTAGTAGGAATGATTCAACATCCAGTATTTTTATAGTCATCACTTTTATTCTCGTATTTCTGTGGTTGAAAATGAATGAACTCTACTCGCTGTTCTCATATCCAGTGATTTCAAGGCTCGTCTTTGATCACTTAGTAGCAGCAGTAGTAGGAAGTAATAGTAATAGTCAAAGTGGCAGATGTTAACTGTATCAGTAGAAATGGCAGTAATATCTGCCATTTATAACTGTGATCCAAGCAGTGTGCTAGCTATGATACATAGATGATTTCATTTACCTTTATAGAACCCTAGGAACTCTTCCTGTTCACCGTTATAAGACAGGAAACTTCTTCAAGGAAGACAATAAGTTGCCTGGAGGCTTATTATCTTATTTGTAGACCTGGAGACCAGGCTCAAATCTGTCTAATTTCAAAGCCAGAGTTTAGAGTAATATTACTTAGTGAAATCAGTGGGAATAAACTTTAAAACATAAACTATTGGCTTTTGCATACATTTTGTTGGTGCCTTCTTGTATGCTGTGATTGTATCAGATTCATTGCATCCTGAGTTTTTCAAGGTACCAATGTGTAGTCGACACAATCTTGGAGAGTGAATTTGAGCAATTCAGAGATCTTGTATAGGATAATCACCTCATAAACCCTACTACCCTTTCATCAGACAGTTAAGCATGAATTCTTGAGGTATTTCTATTCACGTAAGCTGAATGTGTGATATTGTAGAATTCACTTTAATTTTGACTTTTCCAATCTTAAATAACAAGTTCATTCAAAAAAAGTTATGTGAATGTCCTAGGGGTTCATGATAGAAATAATTTACTGGTTTTTGAGTACATTACAGACTGAAACTGTGGAACTCAGGCTATCTCCCTGAGTTCATCCTAGTAGGAATGTTATCATTCTTCATTTATTTAGGATTTCTGTCTGCACATGTTCTTCGTGGTGCAGCTGCTGTGTATGTTGAAGATATAATGTGTGAAGCTGGTCTGTAGTTGAACCAGTTGCTGTCTGGCAAGTGTTATTTGTGGTTCATTTCATAGTCCTATGTGATGTGTGCATGATTTGTTCTTGGCCCTGACTCAGAAGATGAAAACCAGAAACATTTAACATATAAATAAAGAAGTGTTTTGTACTGGTCTTTTGGAAGTGTTAAAGTTGGTTAGTTATTTCAATACTATAAGCAGTTTATTTTTTTTCATCAGATAACACTGGTTAAGAGTTAATAGGAGTATAGAAATAATGTTCTCTGACTTCACATTGTAAACCAAAAATAAAATTTGAAGCCCCCTACCAGGCTGAATAGACCCTTCTCGAGGCCAACAGGATTCCAAAGAAACCAGAAGAACAATGAGAACACACGGACACGGGGAGAAGAGCATCACACACTGGGGCCTGGGGGTGGGGGTCTAGGGGAGGAGAAGCAGGGGGTGGGGGGATTGGGAAGGGATAGCATTGGGAGAAATACCTCATGTAGATGACGGGATGATGGATGCAGCAAACCACTACCATGGCATGTGCATACCTATGTAACAAGCCTGCACGATCTGCACATGTACCCCAGAACTTAAAGTATAATAAATACATTAATTTAAAACAAACTAGCTCAGGCCATGATAGGAAGCGAGTGGGTCCCCACAAGTCTCATTTTGCACCACCCACTGCTCCCTCCCTGCCCGCCTCCCCCACTGTCTCTCTCAGAGTTTAGACAGGACTGATCAGCATTATTGTTAAAATAGAGATCTTAAGACTGACAGAACAGAGGGCTTTAGCAAAAAGATACTATATTCCAACCTGACTCTAGTATAACATCACATGACAGGTAAAGAAGAAAATAAAAATATTTTCCTCAAAAATATGTTTCCTTGACATATTTTGAAAAGGCCCTGCAAAGTTGTCTCTTGTGGTAGCAATCTGCATTCTCTAGAGCACCTCTTTCCCTTACTAGGCCTTTTCTGGAGTATCTGGTACCTCTTAAAAGCC